AAAAAATTCTTACCTTGCTTAAATCTACCACCAATAGTAGCAGTTTTAGAAGATGTCAAACTTCTAATCTTTTCACAAGCCAGTGAGATGGAAAATCGCTTTTTGCACTGCCATTCCTTAATGAATGTTTGAAAAAGAGTTTGGTCACTTGCTACATCAATTATGGCCAAACTTTCTGAACTGCATGAGGCTGGAGTTAACTGCAATCCATCCTGTGATGACTGCAGTGAAAAATTTGTGTCTCTAATAGGGTTGTCATCTTTGAAATCATTTCTATTCTCTGGATTTAAATTGCGGTCTTTAATATCTGAAGGTAAGCCAAACGAATAACTTTCACCAGGTTGTAAAACACTACTAGTTTTCCAAAATTCCACAGGTGGTCCAAGAATCCCTGGATATACCAGCTTAGAAGCAGATGCTGGAATGGGTGTGGGAGGAATGAGACCATTATCATCAACTATACAGCTTTCTTTATAAGGCAAGAGGGATGAGGTTTCACCATGATTGGCATTGTTCTCTCGTGCCTCAATCTTGGTTTTTACTTCATTGTTAGGGGAAAATGAAAATCCCTGCACTTCATTTGTCTCCAAATTTGAAATCGCCTCCTGTTTCTCGTTTAACTCTGTATTTTTTCTTTTCAAACCAGACAAGTTTATAGTCATTAATTTTAGCTTTTCATTTCCTGGAGGACTGGACACTTTATCTAAAATCCTTTGTAGTCCTGGACTTAGGTCAAATGATGACTCTGACCATATGAATGAATGACTTTGCCCTGTCCCAGTTAATTTGGACTTTTGAGCCCTTTCATCTTGATCGTCTCCAATTACTACTTCTTGGGAGTGGTCATTACCTACAATCACTGGATCACTTAGTTCTAATGCTTTAAGAGATACTACAGTATTATGTTTCTCTTGGACAGAAGATACACCTACACTGTCCAAAGCTTCAACCATCTGAACAGAATCCATTTCTGAAAACATAATAGATTCATCACTGAAACAAGTCAATTGCTGCTGGATATCTTCATTCTTCTTCGTATTTGATTGTTTAATTGGGCCTTCTTGTTGTAAACACAGAGAATCACTGAAATGGTTTGATGTTATTTCAGAAGGAAGGGGTTCTTTTGCTTGCATATCAGGTGGTTGTTCTTTTACTAGGTAGTCTTCACTGAAACTGTCAAATAGTAAACTATCACTCATATTCAGACTTGTTTCATGAACTGGCAGACATTTTCCTTCTATACCAGTGGGAGTTCTCTTTTGAGGAAGCAGAGGTGTGACTGGTTTCACAGTTTCTTGTGTTTGATAATCTTGAAGAAAACTATTTAATTGGGAGTCAGTAACAGAAAGTTCATTCCCTTTAAAACAAAGAGCATTTTCCTCCAATAGTATTGGAGAATGAAAAATTGGGTTTTCTGGAGTCAGGATATCAACCCCATGAGAATCAGTGCTTTGTTTCATAGTACCTACAGTCTTAAAGCTCAAATGATCTATATGAGTCCTTCCTGGAGAATGCTGTTCACCAGGGAAAGTAATATGAAATTCATTCTGAAAAGAGCTAATCAAGTTCTGTTTGTCTAAGCTCTTCTGCATCATCCCTGCTGCCAGGTTGGTGCCTTTTGCTCCTTGTTTGGCATTTTCAGTTGCCATCTGTTGTATTATTTTCTCTGACTGAGTATCCAGGTAGAAACTATCTTCAAAATCACAGAGGACTAACCCTAAGTCAGAAACATGATTAGTTTTGTTTGTTGCATAAGGGTCTGTTTTTCCTCGTATTCTAGAGGTATTTAGAAAATTCTCATGCTGGCCTCCTAATTTACCAAATGTTCCAGTTGACACAAGTATTTCACTGGGTATCTCAGTTTTGTTTATATTATCTCCTAATGTCTGAAAATGATTTAGTTTCTTTTCCTCAGTATTAAACTTTATACTTTCACATTCAATAGTCGTAACATTTGAGTCTCTATTCATATAACTACTGACTGCCTCACAGGGCATTTGTCTCTCTACTATGTTTTTCTGTTTGGTATAAGTGTTTGTCTGTTTATTAGATTGCTTTTCTGGGCAGTGGTTAATTGGATAAGTGTCATGGTGTTTCACATAAACATTCTGGTTTTCTGAATCATTTTGTAGCAGCACTTCATTTATTTTTTCTGTCTCAACAACACCTAATCCTCTTCCATTTTCACTAACCGCCCTAGTGGCTTGACAATCCATGTTTTTACTCTGGGATCCTGTGATACAATGTTCCACAAGAGTATCATTAGTTATTGTTCTGTTCCTTGAACAACTTTGCTTTATTTGTAATGGGAATAATGTTTTGTTACATTTTTCCTCAGCACAAAAGGATACATTTTTAGCAAATGGCCCTGGACTTCTAAATTCCATATTCTTCTCA